AGACAGAGAAAGAAGAGGCCAGGGAGAGCGCAGAGAGGAAACTGCAGAAAGCCGCAGGGAAAGTACGGTACAGCCTCAGATCTTTTCATTTATTATTTTTAAAAACTAACTTCTACTTTATTTTCCCATCACCCCCGGCTCCTGCCTAACTGGGTCGTGTCGTGGACGCTTGGCATGGCGCTCTTGCTTTTGTTCCTTTTAATTCCGCAATCCCCCCTCCTTTGCACGCCGACCACATCGCCCCGAAATCTTCCTGCTAACATCTGGTGGAAACGGGCTCTGCGGACGCCACCACCGCCGGCCTCCAGTTTGTTTTGTGTTTTCCAAGTGGCACTTTCTTCCCTGTGCAGATCCTGGACCCTTGTTGTCAACATGCATTTCTTACCCCCCCCCCCCAGCTCCAGGAGAGACCAGCTTAACTCAGAGCAGACTCCCTCCCAGCGGTGCAGACCGAGGCCGCCCAGCAGGCCGGGGGCCGCGGCGGAGTCGGGAGGGAGCCGTGGGGCGTTTGGGGGCCGACGTTTGGGGGTGTGTGGGTGTGCGCGCGCCTGGAGTGCGCCTACCCAGTGGGGCTCACCGCGAGCTGCGGAGCCCGAGCAGGAAACACACGGGCAGGGAGAACAAGGGAGGGGAAGAGAAGATGCCAGGCTCCAGAGCTGGCGCTCCCGGGCATCTCAGTTGTCGCCCGTGGCTTAGCGGCGGGGCCCGGGAGCGCTGGCCCAAGGCAGTGTTAATTACACCGGGGAGACCCCGTGGGGTCGGAAAGACGCGGCTGGCTCCCAAAGAACTTTCCCCCAAAGGAAAAGGAGCAGAGTGGGAAAGGAAGGTAGCTATCCCGCTCGGCTAGTGTGGAAACTATTTCTGGCTGATGTCCAGTCCAATGCCTGTCCCAAACTGCACCCGACTTTACCTCTGTCCAGTGCCTGTCTCAAAGTGTACCCTAATTTACCTCTGCATGGCCGGTTTCCCAGCGGCTGGGACTAATCTTGCGGAGCCCGGAGCTGGGGGCGGAGCTACGGTCACCCTGAGTGGCTCGTACCGCAGCCCTACAACCCGCTCCCCAACTTTCGCTGGTGCTCGTGTACACAGTTCCCGGCCCAGAGCCGGGAACAAGTCGTTCTGCAAGTCACCTCCCTCCCCAACCCTGAACCCCTTCTGGAAAATACAAAGTAACGAGTGGCCCTGGAGCCGCTTTGGCCAGACTTTCCTGCAGGGGCGGGGGTGGGGGGGATAGGAGTGGTTAGGGAGAGGTAAGTTGTGTGTGTGTGTGTGTGTGTGTGTGTGTGTGTGTGTGTGTGTG